GGAAGTAGGAACGACAAAAAATGAAGGACGTTCGGCACATCTACATGTAATGCTCTTTTGTGTCCATCAGTTTCAATGTCATAACTTTAGCCGTTTTCGAGAAAAATAGTGTACAAAAATCCATTTAAAAAATACAAATTTCCCCAAAAATCGCGAATGGAAGCAAACTTTGAAAAAATAAAAAACACGTCTGGAGATATTAACTTGATGCATCTTTCCTGTAAAAATCTTTAAAATCCGTACAGTCACAGCTGAGATATCGCCATAAATATGAAAAAAAGAATAATAATAATAGGAAACCGACGGAAAACAATAAGGTCTTCCGAAGGAAGTCGGAAGACCTTAATAATAATAATAGGAAACCGACGGAAAACAATAAGGTCTTCCGAAGGAAGTCGGAAGACCTTAATAATAGGAAACCGACGGAAAACAATAAGGTCTTCCGAAGGAAGTCGGAAGACCTTAATAATAAGAAACAGAGTAAAAACAATATGTTCCCCAACTTCGTTTGGGGAACATAACTAAGGGTATCATGTAAATTGCTTACCCATCTCAGTCATCCGACTCTGTCGCTTGTGTTTCCTGAGCCGTTAAAACATTGAAAAAATATGAAATATTTTATCTTTTCTTTACCCTTTTCCATTAAAATAGATATCGGGTTCCACATCACAAAAGACACCAAGAGAGTCCTCAAAAGCCAGAACGAGGGATCCCTCACCCGAGGAACCGTGGAGAAGAAACGAGGTACCTGTGTAAAAATAATGTTCAGAAAATGCCATCTGGTAATTTTAAATATTAAATAAAGGCATAGGTATCAGCATTCATATAGGACCTCCCATAATTTTGAGGTTGGTACATTGGATATGATTAAGTAACCAACGAGTTGTGTATTTCTAGTCTTGGCGAGGAGTTAAACACTGTTAAACACACAATAAGTTGGATAAAGATCACGTCTTAGTAAAAAAAAAAAAATAGGGATTTTTTTTTCACATCTTTCACGCATAATTATGTCATGTTTTACACAGTTTTTTGCATTAAAACGGCAAATATATAACAATGGATTTGTGATTTTTTTTTGTGTCGATTACCTTCATTTATATTTTTGTAAAGTAAAAATCGGCTTCCTTGTAAATACATTGGTGTTTTTTTTTTTCATTGTTTCTTAAGGCCAGGTGGTTGAAGGTAGAAAATATTGTAAGGGAAAAGATGGAACAATTTGATCATTATTATACACAGCTAGTGTCACACAATGAGGTCACACGTGCAGAAAACGAGAGGAACTCCCATCAACTGTACAACAAACTCTGGCTGGAGGAGGAAAAGGTAGAATTACAGACATACTGTATTAAGGAAAGAGTTTCAATATCTGGATTTATTTGAAAGAAACCCCACCATATTTGTACCCTTTCATTATATGAAAAAATTAGAAAAATAATAAAGCTTAGTGTTTTAGAAATTTTTAAAAAATTCATAGACATTGAATGAAGAAATTGGAAGAAAGAATATTTATAAATACATATATATAGTACTTTTATTTCAAATGTATGCTTCTGATCTATTCTTTGCAACGAAAACAGTCTTATTGCAATTGTTATCGTGGTTAACAATATTTTACATCAAGTCGACCATACCGGTATGTGAAAATCCATATAATCTTCAATGTCTATCAGTTCCCAGATATGATTGTCAACTTTCAATCTTTTAAATTCATCAAAATCTTTAAATTTTAGAATTAGGATTCAGGCATAGAGAAAAAATGCAATAGTCATTTCACGGAGTCCTGATACAATTATACTACATGTGTAAAAGATCTTTTACTTCACCAAGAATCATCAAAGAGGTGACTCTGTGTATCAGGGAAAACGTTGAATTCGTTATTTTGAATTTTGTAAACTACAATTTTTTTCTATGTAGTAGTTTTAGTAGGCGTGATAAGTATTTTGTTCTTTAATTTTGAGAATATGTCTACTAACATATCGTAAAACTTTCTTTCAAACCAATAACAAAATTGAGTTTGTTTTATTTTTTAATCAGAGAAGAAAAGCGGTTGTTCAGGGCTCTACGTATGACAGAATTTGGAGGCACCACGCCTTGATGAGACAGAGGGGAGAGGATGAATGGCGGAGAAAAATGGAGAGAAACAGTCAACTGCAATATGACGTATGTTTATAGTAATTAGGAACAAGATATGGAGATAACGAACAGAATTCGAGATCAAAATTCCATAAAACAATACAAAATAGGAGCAGAGCAAACACGGACCTGCAAAACATTAGAGATTGGATCAGGTGCCATGGAGGAGTTAGCATCCCCTGCTGACCGGTCACATCCGTCTTGTGCTCCTTGTCGTGATCGGGGATTAACGGGAAAATTCGTCTTCAATTCAGTATGTAAATAATGGACTAACAATTAGTATGAAAAACGTCAGTCAGCTTTTGACTCAATGATAAATTGGACATGTATTTGCTGACAAGGTCATTGTATCGACCACAGAACTTACGAAATGATGACTTTATTATCTCTTGGGTTTTTGTGATTAAGGTTTTTTCATGAAATATGAAGATAACAAACAGTAATCAAGCAATCAAGTTCAAAGAAAAAATACAAATAGGGAACAGGGATACTGCAGGCCTCTGAAACATCAGAGGAATGATCGGATAACATGGGAGTTAAAATCCCCTTTCGACCGGTCATCATCATAATAGATATATGAAGATAAGAATGCTTTCCTCAGAATATTAAAAAAAAAATGACAAATACCCGGTACTATGTTTTGTTGAAAAATATATATTACTAAGTAAGCTTGTCCTCAGCATTGAATCTTGAATATGTCACCAAACATGTACCCACTTCGCTTAAATTTTACTTTCTCTTGATCCATGGAAAATATCATAATGTAATTATTGAACAGTAGTGTTAGTCGGAGGATTTGTAGGTATATTGTGTTAATCTACATTGGCGTCGGAAGCAAATTGAAAGTGGGGGGGGGGGCGGGGGGGGGGGGCTAAGTGTAAAAAAAATTATACCTTTAAAAAACCTGACAAGCAAAAAAAAAAAAAGGGGGAAATAACCCATTTCCCAAACACGAAAATCCTATTTCGTGGGGGGGGAGTTTAGGTTCGAACTTCAGTACCAACAATTTTTTTCCAAACACCACCACTTTCCCCATTTTTAACCTATACTTAGACGTATCTGTGGAAAGTGGGGGGCTAAACCTACGAAGATATGTTCAATGTCTATACTAAGTGTATATTTGGAAAAAAAAAGTGGGGGGGGGGGGGCTAAGCCCCCCCCCTAGCCCCCCCAGGTCCGACGCCTGTGATCTACTAAAGACATCTATCTCTTTTACTTGTATTCTTTTCTTTCAGTCTGTTGATGTGTCTTTTGACGAAGAGGCTCTCAAGTGATTGGAGTGAATCAATTATTTTCAGTACACTTCAAATTCCCAAGATAAGACAGAGAAAGAAAAAGAAGAATCAATTCCTTTTTATCAAATACATGTAAAATGTCTTAAACCTGCCTTTTTATTATCATTTATTATTTGATATATTATAATTGTTAAATCTTAGTACATGTACATTGTATTTACATGTACTCCGCTTTTTATTGCTACATGTATATGTATGAGTCGTGAATAAGATAAAGTCCAACTGAGAAGTTCTTTGTTCAAAATGTTGTGAGAAATAAATTATTTATTTGTGAATATGTAGCATTTTATGTTTGTAAATGTTTATCAGTTTATGTTTTATGAATATTTTAATTATAGCATCTTATGTTTGTAAATATTTAGCATCAGTTTATGTTTGTGAATATTTACCAGTTTATGATTGTGAATATTTATCAGTTTATGTTTGTGAATATTTATCAATTAATATTGCAAGCGAGGAAAGAATCATTATCATTTCTAATAAAATATACTGCAAAATACATTTTTTTCTTTGGTTCAAAATATTGTGGTTTGTGGAAAAAAATCACGGTGGACATGAATTCGTAGGTCTCTTCATACTTCGAAAACAACGAAATTAACCCCGTCGAAAATTTATGATTTCAAGGTATTCTTTTTTTCATAGCAATAATTTGCTTTTTATTTGTTCTACCACGTGCTTTGATATTGGATGTAAATGATGCATTTACTATGATATACCATTAATTAGAAGCATTATGATAACACTTCTAAGTAAGATGAACGACTTAATATCCAGTGTTATTTGTTCTAACTAAACCAACAACCAAAAAGATTTAAAATAACACATTAATCAAACGAAAAATTAGAAAAAGAAATTAAAAAATCACGAAGACATGATAATCATTTTTGAGATATTTTTCCTTTACTGAAATCACTCGTTTCTTTAATAGCTTTTTTTATTCTATGCATATGTTTTCTTGATTATAAAATAATATCAAGTGCTTGAGTGCTAATTCTTTTAAAAATGATCAATAAGCAAGACATCTTATACTCTACAGGTTATTACTTCTTTATTATTGACATTAATCTTGCATTCATTAAGCTCAACTAGATATTTTGACTGCCCAGAGTATGGATGAATGCTGATAAGGTTAATCGAGCGTTCGAATGAATTTACAGATATGAAAACCTAAAAGTTATAATTAAAAGTATGTTTAGAATATATAGTCCGCCGTCGGCAGAACTTGCACATTCGAGCCAATTAAATTTACTTTTCGGCGTTTACAAAACCATTTTTGAAATGTTTCCTAGTTATTGTATATGCAGGATAGTTTAAATTATATCTCAATCCAACCCTTTGTTATCTTTTGGAAGAATGTGAATATTGGTAGCTATGAAGGGAGTCTTTATAACTGTGAGAAGAATTGCACCAGTAGTGTATACATATACATATTGTCACCCTTCGGCACAAGGTGTGCAGATCCTCCAGAGGTGTTCATATGTCAAATCAATACCGAACGATGATAGTAATACAATTAAAAACCTAACCAAATTGTAAGGTCTTTGCAGATTCGAGCTGATGATTAAAGGGGTAGATCCACCACTGGCAATTTTTAGCAGGTACAAAATTTACATATTAGATTATTGTGTTAAATAACCACATGGTCATCGAAACAAAGTCGTGGAAGAAGTGTGACTTGATACTCAATACACCTACCCCATGATCAACCTTTGATACCGGGCCTTTCATCCTTGCATCGCAACATTTTACAATATTAATCTTATAAATATTTATACATTTATCCTATGTTTGCAAAAAAAAAAATTGGCGATAAAGAGAAAAAATCAGATATTTTTTGTTAATTATTGAATTGTACTTCCTCACATACTGCCGATGCTCTAATATTTGTTAAAAAAGCAAACCTTGACTTTCATGAAAATATAAATAATATATCGATTTATTGAAATTTCATAATCATTGGTTAAAAGGTAAACCTTTATAAACCTTTAAGTATAAGTATTGTAAGATAAAGAAAAAATACTTTTAAACAACAAAGACAAATATTTCTGAATCCATCACCAACTATAATAAGTCCATTTTTTGTAGTAAAATACTGTTTACACGTCAATTATGCCTCATGGCTTTATATCACCGAAGTTACCAAAACTTGACATATCCATTGTCATCATCGTCTGAATCTGAACTGGAATCAGAACCATTGTCGAACTCTCTCTCAAATTCAGCTCCTTCTGCACCTTCCGATCCACCTGCGGCGGCACCACCTCCACCACCGCCTGCTCCCCCACCACCACCACTTCCTCCTCCTGATACCCCACCGCCACCTGCTGCCCAGCCGCCTCCAGCCAACCCTCCTCCTCCCCCAGCCAATCCTCCTGTCCCAATGCCAGCTCCATCTGATTCCCTTTCTCCCTCTTGCTCTGCCATTTCTTGTAATCTATCAATACTTTTCATAAAGATTTCCCCGACACGTTCACGGTGTTTCGAACCGGGCTGGAGATACTGATAAAACCGAATCAATTGGAGAAGCTTAGCTCTATACGATTCATTAAATAATTTTGTAATTCTGGCGTTGCTTTGAAGATTGATGTAACCTTTAAGAATGGTATCCAAGGTCTGCTGGTGGTTTTTAGAACTGTGCAACAGTTGAATAATATCTGCAGAGGTTAATTGCATTTGAGCCATTCTTAAAATATCGCCCATGCCGGTTTTTGAAATTTGTCGACTTCCTGATACAGTTCCATGTCCAGCTTGCACACCGCCCGCTACCTGTCCCCCTTCAATGGTTCCCCTAGTATTTATTTTCTTTACAATGTTTCCTCCCTGATTAGTGCTTCCTGAATGTCGAAGACGGTTGTCCCTAGCAAAGATAGGGAATTTAAGATTTTGAACTCCAGGTTGAAATCTTGGTTTATCTAAACCTCTAACATGTCTCAAAAAGTCTCTTGCAAAAACTTGACTATGTAGAGATCTTTCGGATATTCCAGGTACTCTCACCAAATTACTAGATAAAAACATGTTTTTCCTTATTGGTCGTGTTGGTTGCCGGTCTGGAATGGTGATTTTAATGATTTTCGGTCGAGGTTGCAAAGGTTGTGGAGGTACTGGGTTTGGCTGGGGTAATTTTTGAGGATTAAATTGAGGAACAGCCATTACAGCCATTGGTAAACTGTGCAGACTGGGTAGAATAATCGGTTGGCTGGAAGGAGATATATTTCCCTTTAGACGAGGGGATGGGACTGGGATATTTGGTTGAACTTGGATGGCATTTTTAGGAATAGGTAAAGGTTTCTGAGGGGCGGTGGGGGGTTTATGTCCGGTAGGGGGACTTAGTGGCGGCACAGACATCACAGCTAATGGTAAATCATGAAAATTATTTGCTCCCAAAATTTTAGAAGAATGTGGTAATTGTGCTGGATGTAAAGACTGACTTTGAAAGTTAGATATTCTGGATTTTGATGTTAAGAATTGCTTAGGTTGGATGTTATTAGATATGAAACCTGGCTGAAACTCGTGTATGGTGACCGATCCCTGGGTTTTAGAAGGTATTGGAAAAACAGTTTTCTCTAATATTGGCAAAGATGGAAGAATTGGTTCTTGAGGTAGATGGATAGGGATTCCTTTGACAGGTTGTTGTAATGGTTTCCCGACAGAAATCTGAAGATCAGGACTGGTATTAATTTTTAGTCTCTTGTCTGTCAGAGGAATCATGGGATAAGACATCCAGGTGTTAGAAGCATCTATTCCTTGATCAAAACGAGGGTTGGATATCCATACATTTTTGCCTATTGCTGGTATACTGTCAAGTAGGCCTGCCTCAAGATGAACATCTTTACCTGGGATAGGCTCGATAGGAGAATGGACAAAGGAAAAGTGCATGTCTGGCAGAGTAGGTATAATGTCTGGTAGAGTATGTATCATATCCTTGCTAGATTTTAACTGTGGTGCTGACGTCAGGACATTTTGGTCGTTGAGAAGTTGTATCTCGTGTTGAGATGCCGGGATTTTAGACAGAGGACTCAGGTCGCCCTGTACGGCACATTTACCTGTGTACTGACAATCCCAGGGCGTAGGGTCCTTGTACTTTGAGCCTGTCTGACCCGAAATTACATGACTTCCTACAGCCTATATAAAAAAGATCAAGCAATTGTAAATAAGAATGTTAAATTGTAGTATATAAAATATGGAAATAACGAAATGGTTTAAGCTCAAAGTCTTTTTTCCAATACAAATCAGGAGCAGAGCAAACACGGACCTCCATGGAGTTGGGATTAGGTGACATGGAGGAATCAGAATAAATATATTAGTAATGTTTTCAACCAAACTTTGCTACCCATGGAGCATAATAATGATACATTTTTTCTATTTCTAACGTGACTTTATTACCTATTATGATTACATATAGAACATATTCATCCATGGTTAAACTATGTATATTTATTCACAAAGCATATATAATAGATAACTACATGTATATAAGTAGTTCAGAATGCTTCAAAAATAAAATAAATGGTATGAAATACTTAGTTTTCGAAAAGCATCCTTTTTTATTATTTTATAAATCTTGTTAAAATGTCAAAAAATCAGTGGCCCTCATTGACATCTACATGCGAAATTTTATGTTATCTATTAATAATGTTTGATGGCTTTCTATCAATAGATGTTTTCCTTTTGTAGTTCTCTACTACCGATAACCTGTATCATGTCCTGTGTGTTCGGTTAATACTCGTCAATTCTCAAAGTTTGACAAATGATGTACACAATCTTGTCCGCTGAGAGGAAATTAATAAGACAATCAGAAATGAGATTCCTGGTTTTGATGTAGTGTCGGAGAATAAATGTACAAGCATGTCAAGCGGTTAATGATTTTTGGAGACGTAGAAACACACTTAGAAATTTTTGAGGAATTCTGTTTATTTCGATAATTTTCAGCATTATACAACGAAGAATTTAACAATAGATAAGAGGAATATTGATTTTTGTTACTTAATCACTATAGACAATTTGAAGAATTATTAAGAACTATTAAGGATTTGTACTTGAAGTAATTGCAATTGATCCCACCTCTGATGTTTTGAAGGTCCATGTTCACTCTGCTCCTATTTTGTATTGTTTTGCGAACTTTTAATCTTGAATACTGTTCGTCATCTCCATATGTTTCATTAGATTAAAACTTTTTTCCCCGCAATGCCTTGTCAAATAAGAAAAGTGTCATTGCTCGTGCACCGCACCCTTTTTTCTTCAGTATAAACTCTACATATTGGTAGAGTATTTATTTGAATTAAGCTGACATGTTGCTTAAGATTGACTAAATCACTCTCTTAACGAAGAAGTCTCTATGCAAAATGTATAGATGCATATATATTTTTACTATTTCTTATATAACAACGGTTTTATTTGTTGAATCGAAATCATTCACTTCAAATACGAATTAATCAACATGTGCATTACAACTTATCTCTTATCTAAAAATTTTGTTATTTTGAATCAGAAAAGCTTGATTATCATATCTATGATATATATTGATGACCAAATTCTCACTCTACATTGTATTTATGAAAGTTGCGCTTCTTGAATACAAAGGAATAAACAAATATAATATCACATGTACCAATAAATGTCAGTTTTTTTAATGTTTATATTTGTGTTAGCATCCGTATAATTAAATATTCTTCATATCTGTATGGTAATATTTTAAAAATATACATCTAGAAACAATCATAGATATACTTACTAAAATAAGAAACAATCTTCCCAGACTACTCGGAGACCTCATGGCCTTTGCGCCCACGTGCGTCCCAAATAACAGATTCAATACCAATAATTTATTAAACATCAAATTCTGTTACTCTTTTACAACATTTTGTTTAACATCAAGTTTAATAACCACATGCTTGTCACAGCGTTAACGGTTCAACGACTTAACATGCAATTATTTTTTTGAAAAATTTGTTTAAATAAAATATTTTCGTGTAGATCTGTAATTGTTTGAGAGAGGAAAAGAGTTATTAATTTCATCAGGTAATTGAAAAGAAATCTGCTTGCTTTTCGCTTGTAGGTGAGACATAACACATTTTTAATTATCAGATCATTAATTTTCTTTCTTTATGAAGCTATATTTAAATATTTAGTGAAAAATATTTCCGCTCTTAAAAAATTCAGATGTAGTAATATTAAAGAAGTTAAAATTAATTAATTACTGGTAATTATTGCTTAATAATTGTTTCTCTCACTGAGAGAAGAGAAAGTTTCGACTTTTTCATTGGATTTTAGTTGTAACAATATTTAGGGTTTTTAATTTGTTGCTTCACTTTGAATCGGAGTCTTGCATAAAAGGTCAAGGCCATGGATTGGAATAAAGATAAACAGTTTTGTCAACAATCTGATTATGACTTAAAGAAAAAATCCAAAACATTATGATTCTTTAATATTACTACATCTGAATTTTTTAAGAGCGGAAATATTTTTCACTAAATATTTAAATATAGCTTCATAAAGAAAGAAAATTAATGATCTGATAATTAAAAATGTGTTATGTCTCACCTACAAGCGAAAAGCAAGCAGATTTCTTTTCAATTACCTGATGAAATTAATAACTCTTTTCCTCTCTCAAACAATTACAGATCTACACGAAAATATTTTATTTAAACAAATTTTTCAAAAAAATAATTGCATGTTAAGTCGTTGAACCGTTAACGCTGTGACAAGCATGTGGTTATTAAACTTGATGTTAAACAAAATGTTGTAAAAGAGTAACAAATTTGATGTTTAATAAATTATTGGTATTGAATCTGTTATTTGGGACGCACGTGGCAAAGGCCATGAGGTCTCCGAGTAGTCTGGGAAGATTGTTTCTTATTTTAGTAAGTATATCTATGATTGTTTCTAGATGTATATTTTTAAAATATTACCATACAGATATGAAGAATATTTAATTATACGGATGCTAACACAAATATAAACATTAAAAAAACTGACATTTATTGGTACATGATATTATATTTGTTTATTCCTTTGTATTCAAGAAGCGCAACTTTCATAAATACAATGTAGAGTGAGAATTTGGTCATCAATATATATCATAGATATGATAATCAAGCTTTTCTGATTCAAAATAACAAAATTTTTAGATAAGAGATAAGTTGTAATGCACATGTTGATTAATTCGTATTTGAAGTGAATGATTTCGATTCAACAAATAAAACCGTTGTTATATAAGAAATAGTAAAAATATATATGCATCTATACATTTTGCATAGAGACTTCTTCGTTAGAGAGTGATTTAGTCAATCTTAAGCAACATGTCAGCTTAATTCAAATAAATACTCTACCAATATGTAGAGTTTATACTGAAGAAAAAAGGGTGCGGTGCACGAGCAATGACACTTTTCTTATTTGACAAGGCATTGCGGGGAAAAAAGTTTTAATCTAATGAAACATATGGAGATGACGAACAGTATTCAAGATTAAAAGTTCGCAAAACAATACAAAATAGGAGCAGAGTGAACATGGGACCTTCAAAACATCAAGAGAGGGTGGGATCAATTGCAATTACTTCAAGTACAAATCCTTAATAGTTCTTAATAATTCTTCAAATTGTCTATAGTGATTAAGTAACAAAAATCAATATTCCTCTTATATATATTGTTAAATTCTTCGTTGTATAATGCTGAAAATTATCGAAATAAACAGAATTCCTCAAAAATTTCTAAGTGTATTTCTGCATTCTTTCAAAAATCATTAACCGCTTGACATGCTTGCACATTTATTCTCCGACACTACATCAAAACCAGGAATCTCATTTCTGATTGTCTTATTAATTTCCTCTCAGCGGACAAGATTGTGTACATCATTTTGTAGAAACTTTTGAGAATTGACGAGCTAACCGAACACACAGGACGTGATTAGGTTATCGGTAGTAGAGAACTACAAAAGGAAAACATCTATTGATAGAAAGCCATCAAACATTATTAATAGATAACATAAAATTTCGCATGTAGATGTCAATGAGGGCCACTGATTTTTTGACATTTTAACAAGATTTATAAAATAATAAAAAAGGATGCTTTCAAAACTAAGTATTTCATACCATTTATTTTATTTTTGAAGCATTCTGAACTACTTATATACATGTAGTTATCTATTATATATGCTTTGTGAATAAATATACATAGTTTAACCATGGATGAATATGTTCTATATGTAATCATAATAGGTAATAAAGTCACGTTAGAAATAGAAAAAATGTATCATTATTATGCTCCATGGGTAGCAAAGTTTGGTTGAAAACATTACTAATATATTTATTCTGATTCCTCCATGTCACCTAATCCCAACTCCATGGAGGTCCGTGTTTGCTCTGCTCCTGATTTGTATTGGAAAAAAGACTTTGAGCTTAAACCATTTCGTTATTTCCATACTTTATATACTACAATTTAACATTCTTATTTACAATTGCTTGATCTTTTTTATATAGGCTGTAGGAAGTCATGTAATTTCGGGTCAGACAGGCTCAAAGTACAAGGACCCTACGCCCTGGGATTGTCAGTACACAGGTAAATGTGCCGGGCAACCTGGGTAGGCCTCTGTCTAAAATCCCGGCATCTCAACACGAGATACAACTTCTCAACGACCAAAATGTCCTGACGTCAGGCACCAGCCATTTAAAATCTCAGCAAGGATATGATACATACTCTACCAGACATTATACCTACTCTGCCAGACATGCACTTTTCCTTTGTCCATTCTCCTATCGAGCACTCCCAGGTAAAGATGTTCATCTTGAGGCAGGCCTACTTGACAGTATACCAGCAATAGGCAAAAATGTATGGATATCCAACCCTCGTTTTGATCAAGGAATAGATGCTTCTAACAGGGATGTCTTATCCCATGATTCCTCTGACAGACAAGAGACTAAAAATTAATACCAGTTCTGATCTTCAGATTTCTGTCGGGAAACCATTACAACAACCTGTCAAAGGAATCCACTCTCCCATCTCCCTCAAGAACCAATTCTTCCATCTTTGCCAATATTAGAGAAAACTGTTTTTCCAATACCTTCTAAAACCCAGGGATCGGTCACCATACACGAGTTTCAGCCAGGTTTCATATCTAATAACATCCAACCTAAGCAATTCTTAACATCAAAATCCAGAATATCTAACTTTCAAAGTCAGTCTTTACATCCAGCACAATTACCACATTCTTCTAAAATTTTAGGAACGAATCATTTTTCATGATTTACCATTAGCTGTGATGTCTGTGCCGCCGGCTACAGTCCCC